GTCTATCGTTTGTATCTACCGCACCCACCCCTCCCACGCAGCCGGTTCAAGTTTGGAGGGCGCCGTTAGAGCCAACTTGTTTGATTTTTCAGCTTTGTGGATAAATTTTCATGTTCAGTGATTGTTCTTTGTGGAAACGGAATCAAAGTCTTACCGTAGTAGTGCGATCATCAGTGGTGAGATCAATCAAGGGCTGATCTCTCGATACAGCGGAAGGTTGCGCATGTGAAGACACTGCTGTAGGCAAATCGGTCCTGAACGGAGTAATGAAGGCGAATATGGCTGGTACTATTTGCTATTATTAAGGCCCAGTTCAAAAACAAAGAACAGATTTTCGGCACCACGTGCTGAAAGAGATCCGCTGCTTATTGACCCCTAAAGCTTGGACGGATAAAGCTTTCTGGGTTCCTAAGGCGGTCTCTACTTGGGTTGCCATTACCAGTCTTTTCAAGGGTTTCATTGAATGCAATATAGCTTATGTAATGACCTGCAAGGGCCGTCAATGTACAAGACAATCGATGTTTCTCGCCCTTCGAGACGGCCCTGACCTGGCTCTTGTGCAGCCTTGGCAGCCCCGAAGGGATAGAAAGCTCGAATGATCCGGACAGGAACCCTTCCTGAGTTGGATCCAATGAGACAAACTTCAGTCTCCGCTACACTACCTCCCCACCCCCTCTTTGGCATTACGTGAAAAAATGACGTAAGAACGAAGATGTTTCTCCATGTTCACTTCGCTGCGGATGCTGGGGCGCCTCGGGGGGGGGGGGTGGGGCGGTGGTTTGGCGCGGCGCCAATTCGTTCTCCAACTAATTGTTGAAGCTGACAAGGGACAGCAGCTGGTGGAAAACGGGCCGGCGCAGGATCAGATCCAGACAATGACATACCCCAGCATCATCAGCGATGAAGACTGCTGTACTTCTTGCCTTCATGTACAGTCCTCATCATTACGGACTGTCGGGGCGGCACAGCCGCGCTGCACTGTGACGCGACAGCGGCTGCGGCTCGGTGACGGTGAATCAGCTGATTTCGATGGAATTCGGCTGCAAATTCCTACTTTTTCAGCTCTTCAAGCTTCTAAAGTGGAAGATGAGTTATTCTGAACAATTCTGAATTGTACTGGCTCTGATTTCCTTTATTTTTATGTCGATTATATGCTCTTTTCCTTGTATTTTGCCTTATTTCAGGCATTTATTCAAATGGCTTGCATTCTTTCAGATTCATTCAGAGTCAGTACAATTTAAAATTGCTCAAAATAACTCACCTTCCACTTTCGAAGCTTGAAGAGTTGAAAAAGTGGGAATTCGCAGCCGAATTCCATGGAAATCAGCTGATTCGCCGTCACCGAGCCGCAGCCGCTGTCGCGTCACATTGCAGCGCGGCTGTGCCGCCCCGACAGTCCGTAATGATGGACTGTACTAGCCAATGAATCGATTGGTGAGTGCTACAGTACCTGTCTGATGGTATAATATGAGGCTGCTCGGCAAATGCAAGACGCTGGGCAAGTTCTGCATCTCTTCGAGCCTGCTCTTCCAGCTGTCGTCGAGCTTCTTCCTCAAATTCACGTTGAAGACGTCGCGCAAGCTCCTCATCGGATTCGGCTCTGAAATAGAGGGAATCTGGGATAATATAGTTAAGAAATTGGTGGGTGTTCTTCCACGAAACGTGGAGGCACTGATACCTTTACACGACTTTTAATTAGGTGTTGTTCGGGGGGGGGGGGTGGTGGGCTGACGTCCTCTGATGCCCTAGTTTCCAATAGTAGATCGTGCTCTGAACGAAGGCCGTGCCGTACACACCTCTACTATATAGTTTACAGGTGTCCACAGCCGGCATCGGCAAAGAGCAACGGAAGCCAGCACAATGCCACCAAGCAAAACTGGGCCTCTGTTGTTTATACTTTGATAGTTGGTTTGCTTGACTGCTATTCGGTATTACTACATAATTACTATTATTTGAAATAGTTACTTTACTTATGTTCCTAATCATCGATGCTTGATGTATCTAAATACATAGATATGTACTCTATCCCTTAAGGAGGCATCTACATCTCACAGGCTGGGGAGGGCAAGGGAAGCGTCTACGGTCAGTAAAGTTGTGATGAGGGAGACCATCATTTCCAGCTACTTTCACCCCTT